CCAGATAGCCCTCTATCTTATTATGTCTTCTAAGGAACTGGCCTTCTCACCACATACCTCAAGGTTAAGTAAGCACCCTCCAGGTGCAGAAAGGAGCAAAACAAGAAGCAAAACAAGTTATACTTCAGCTAAGCCAGCCTGCATGGCTCCCAACACCCCACCCCCCCGAACTCTAGCCTGCCTGCTGTGCTTTCCTGGGGGCATGTGACGACAGTGGAGGCCGGTAGGGACAGCGGGGATGTGGTGTACCATCCACCCCCACATACATGGGCTGGTCCTCCTGCACCCAGGGTGGCCATGTGGTTGTAGGTGGCCAGAGCTTTTTATTTCTAGAGAAGCCTGAAACATGGATTTTTATGGGATAATTTCTATATTTAAATAACGGCAACAAATTCCAGCTTTTTTTAAAGAGTCACAGTGCAGGACAAAGGGCGTGTGTCCTTGTGTGCACCAGGTCCCAGGTTTGGGCCCATTCCCTCCATTTGAACGGCAGAGGCCATGGGCTGTGAACGCTTAACCGGGACTTGTAAGGCGCTGTCTCACTCGGAGGGCAGATCTGGGTCCTAGGCAGGGTGGGGGTGGCAGGTCTTCAGGCCGCGCTCCCGGCGCCCCTCCCACAGGCATCCCCACCTCCACGGGGCTCTCGGCCTTGCGCCAGGGCACGGACCGGCCGCTGGGCGGCTTCCACGGCTGCATCCACGAGGTGCGCATCAACAACGAGCTGCAGGACTTCAAGGCGCTCCCGCCGCAGGCCCTGGGGGTCTCGCCCGGCTGCAAATCCTGCAGCGTGTGCAAGCACGGCCTGTGCCGCTCGGTGGAGAAGGACAGTGTGGTGTGCGAGTGCCACCCGGGCTGGACGGGCCCGCTGTGCGACCAGGAGGCCCGCGACCCCTGCCTCGGCCACAGGTCAGTGCCACATACACACACACCCTCTCACACACACACTCTCTCACACATTCTCTCTCACCACACTCTCTCACACACACACACACACACACTGTCACTCTCTCACACACACACACGCTCTCTCACACACACTCACACTCTTTCACTCTCACACTCTAACACACACACACACTCTCAC